ATCAAATTGTTCTAGTAAATTTATTATGATAAATCCAATAAAAAAAATAACATTACCAGCGGCTACAAAATTTTCTAAGTTTATCTGTAAGTACAAAAAAAAATTTTTATTATAAATTATTATGCAAATCATGATAAGATCAAAGCAAACTAATTTTCATTTCAATTACTTACCAGCGGCTACAAATTATTCTCAGGCTGGTCTGCAAGTATATATAAAATACTTTACAACTGTTTTCATAAATTCTGGAAAATCTGGCAAAAATTGACCAACTGAAAATCTGCCAATTCGATAAGCTTTAATTCTGCAGTAATAATCTTTTGATTCAGATGTAATCAAATACAAATCTAAAGTTTATCAAAACTTATTAAATAGGCAGATATTCGATTGGTCAATTTTTGCCAGATTTTTCAGAATTTATGAAAACAGCTGTAATAGCACTACGAATTTTTCTCAAGACAATCTGTAGATACAGCAAAAAAAGTTTTACTGTCAAATCACAATGAATAATGAGGTAAATGTAAGAGCATTTGAAGATTTTGAGAATTTTATCGATTTTAAAAAATTTTTTTGGTTGACCTAAAAATTTTTACTGCAAACATTATATAAATCATGATAATTCCAAAATAAACCAATATATTCTAAACTAAAGCACTTACCAATGAAAACATAAATAAACTGTAAACCAACCCATTGTTACTCATCCGATTGTTTCTAGTCAAGGATTCAAATTAACTATAAAATTTGTCGGCCATATCTAAATTTACAATAATATGCCTGTAAGTAGCTTAATAATTAAAGTTTAACTTGAATTACAATCGAAAATTACCTTTATGAAGCCGATTATTGTAGGAATTGATTGAAAACCTGGAAATAAAAATTTGAGCCAAAAAAAATTATGATCGGAGTTTTGATAATTTCAGTAATACAATAAGTGTATATTACTGAAATTATCAAAATGCCAATTATAATTTTTTAGGCTCAAAATAATTATTTTTGCTTCGATTCCATTTCTACTCATATCAACTATAATTACAGTCTATCTATTGCTTATTTTCTTCGGTTTTGATTAGTTTCGCTACTTATTTTTTTTAATTTTTTTTTCTTTTTGTCTATTCTTTTTTTTTACTTTTGTATTGTACTGTCTTTTCTTCGTCTATTGTTGGTGTGTTTTTTTTTTATTAATTAGTAGTGTCTTTTCTTGTTTTGTTCATTGGTGTTTTTTGGAGTTTTGTGGTTCATTTAGGTTTTATATGCAGATTCTGTTGATTATAGTTAAAATCGGAAGGTTTAAAACAATCGTTAGTGTTGTCAAAATCACTATTTCTCAAAATCGGCATAAAAAATCAACATTAGTGCTCTAATAAAAAGTTTTTCTTGAGCGATTTTAAATCTATAAATAGGAATGAAAGTATAATAACGTATATTATTAATATCAATAATGGGTGCTATACTTGTGCACTATAAGTCAAGGTCCCAGGGTTTCCTTGCAGTACCAATCTGGTAGTGGCTGTAGCAGAAAGCATTACCACCTTTGAAAGTATATTAAGTAAATAGTATACTGCAGAATAATAATTAGATATTTGATAAATCTGATTGTACCAATCAGTACCAATATATGGAGGGCCATATACACCAACTTGGGAGCTTCAAAAGAAGCAAAAAACCTCTAGCAGACATCAAGCTGGGAGAATAAAAAGTTTTTGCAAGAAGTAGAAGGCGGTCATTGTATAATTAAGAAAATATAGTAGATCTTATATAGAATAAGAGAGTCGTACTCCATTCCAGAATTGGAGATAGAGTTATTAATTAATTCTAAATAGGGAAATTTACGATTAGATTGCTAGGGTGGGTGTCATTAAAAATAATGTAGCACAACTCATGTACTATATACTAATAAATTCCTTAATTGAAATTAATAAAGTCATAGCACTATAGCAATTTAAAAAAAAAAAAAGTAAATAAATCCTTCTGCTTAAATCTTCTCTCTTGCTCTTCTTAAACCCTTCTTTTAAAAATACCACTATAACAATATATAATTTATAGTATATATAAATCTTGTACAGTATAATTTGCATCACATAGCTCTTCTGATGACTGGTAAATTATCTATTAAGATGTTTTAGATGGCATAATACAGATCATGAAAAATATATAAAAAGAGTATACTTAAGCATTTAATTTTATAAATATTGTCATTGATCATAATGCTTGAGCATCATTATGTTCATTATTTAATTAATTAATTAAGATGCCTAAAAACATCCTAAATTAGTAACAGAAAGGGTTTGTATACTAAAAGTAATTGATTTTTGAATTAATAGTAATCCAGATTCAGGTTATAAACATTTAGCATAGTAAATACATGTAAAAAAAAAAGCACGTATAAAATGTAGAAAAATTTTCGAGCAGATATTGTTTAGAAAAGTATATACCGTTAACCACACCTATAGTATCCCTAAAAATAATATTAAGACCCAAGTATTATTCACTATCTCTACTGGCTTGTTATCTGAATAAGACCTGGATACAACTATAATGATTAAGGGTAGTTCGCAACTAAAGGGTAGAAATTTCATAGTAAAAATTGGCGGAATTACTTATAGAATTTTAATAGTAGTGAAATGGCCAAAGATTTTCATAGAGAGTACTATATAAACTTCTTTTTTTTTATTAAGTAAGTCTCTCTTTGCTACTACAGTCATACTTGGGTTATATCTCCATTGGGTTAAATCCCAACTTGAATTATATCACCACTTTTTGATAGAATAAATATCCTATATTTATTTTACCTAATTTATATCCCACTTTATATTATACTTGAATAATATCCCTATCCCCAGTAGCTTTATAATATAAATAGTAATTAGCCTGCTCAACTTATATCTCAGATAATCCAACATATAGTGTAGATTGAATAAACCGGTTTTTGTGTCTTAAATTATGCGATTCTCATAATCGCGAACTATTCTGACTAAATTTTCAGCTGCAATCTTCACATATGTTTAAATTTACCATTTGCAAATTTATTTAGGATGACAATTCAATTTGTAATGATCTATTTTACTATACCATTTGATGTTATGGTTGCTTAGTTCATTTTACTTATGTTTTATTGTTCTAGACACATGCCAGTAGCAACTTCTCATAAAGCATAAAAAAAATCATCGCTTTTTCTAATCAAATTTTAATTGCAGGCTTACATTTATAAAATCACTAATAGAAATACTACTTATAGTAGGCACACCATATTAAAACTAGAGATGCAATAAAAACTGTTCTGGCTTATACCGTAACAATTTCTATTGCATCTTTAATTAAAACATAGTCGGTCATATAACAATTCATAATGAATATCTAATTAAATTCTAAGAAGCAACAATTTTCTTTAAAATGTTATTAACAATTTATTACTGCATAACAATTTACTTTTGCATGAATTTAACGCACATATGTATGTACGATCAGGTGTTCAAATATACTCATCCAAATAGAAAAAGAAGTACAATAGGCGGCAAAGCCTCGATAATAGAGGAGTTTGGAACCTGATTTCTAAATAAAATTAGTAAAGTGAAGTAATAGAAGTCATAAATAGTGAAACTTACCCGTAAGATTTAACGTCTCTAAAACAGAATAATCTGAATGAGAGAAAATGGAAAAGCTAAAAAAAGAAATATAAAAAAAACAGTTAGTATAATAATATATAAAGACAGACAATTTTAATAAATACTTATCTTTTGTGAAAAGATCTAGTTGAGCCGATAGAACCTAAATGGATAATTAAACAGTAAAGTTAAAAAAAGTAATGTTTAAAGTCAATTTCACAATTCAAGAAAGTAAAGTGTAAGAGTAAGCGATCATATGATTTAATATTATTGGTTGGATTATGTGCATATGGTTAGATCAACAGGAGGAAATGTAACCGATCCAAAGTGAATCCCACACATGGTGTGATAAATTAAAATTAATATAAATAATTTCAGTTTTTAATTTATTGCAATTGATCACACCATGTGTGGGATACACTTTGGATCGGGGTACGTTTCCTCCTGTAGGTTAGATCAGTAAACTTTATTGTTTACATACGTATGCATAGCCTATTGTAAAGTCTATTGTAGTTTGGCATAATCGTATTACCTGATTAGTACTGATGCATAAAGTATGTAATCATAATTTGTAGTTAAATCAAGCAAGCAAGATATAAATAGAATAGGCGATTAGTAGGTCGCTTTTTCTACAAATAAAAATTAAAATAGAAAAATAAAGTAGTTGGGGTGTAATAGAAAGTAAAGAAAAGCTGTCCTTAATGCAAGATGCAAACGATGTTCCCGAATAAAAAATATAGTGAAGCCATGTAGTTATCGAAGAATCAAAAATGCAAAACTGTGCTGATTTGTAAGTGAAAAGATTCATTTGCTAACAATTAGTTTTTGTTTTTCACTATGAATTATAAGATCCTAACCAGTAAAATTAATACCTTTACGAACTTGCAAGTTAATTTTAGTATAACAATACTATCCTGATTTTTAATTCAAATCTCATCAATAGCATTATGCTACCTTTTGGTTGCAAGCTCGAACAATATAATTATTGCTTTTCAACAAGTTGTGTCTGTTGTCTGTGTGACAAAAAAAATCAATCATTGGTTTTATGCATTAATGCATTATACAAATTAGCTAATGCAAAATCTTGAAATTGCTAGCAATACGAAGTCTTAGAGTAAATGATTAAAGACTCGTATTAGGATAATTCAATAACAATAAATAAAACAAACTATAAAATCAATATATAGAATTTGAGAATATACCCGAATCTTATACAGCATTATTCTTTGTTAAAAACGAATCCAATCCAAAAATTGTGAATTATAACATTCCTAATTCGTATAAATTATTGAATGATTCATAATTACACAATGTAAAAATCAAAATCCCTTACGTTAAAAAAAAATAGACTTTAAATCCATCTATTAGCACTGCTTAACATTAATCTAATACGAGATGTCTGTTGCAGAATCTAATGCAAGTAAAAAGCGAAAAGAAAGATCTGCTATCACTTTAGAAAAGAAGGTTGAGATTATTAAAAAGAGGGAAGAAAATACAAAGTTAAGCCATCAGGATTTGGCAAACCAATATCATGTTGATAGGTCAACAATAAGCAATATATTGCGGGATAAAGATAAATATCTTCAATTATATAATACTACTCCTCATGCACAACAACGTGTTCGCGTACAAAAAGGACAGTTTCACATTATTGATGAGGCTGTATATAAGTTGTTTTTAGAATTTCGTTCTCAGAATGTTCCTGTTTCTCAGGATATACTCAAAACCAAAGCACTTTCTATATATGAACGTCTTAAAGATGGTGGTGTAGAATTTCCATCTACATTTAATGCATCTAATGGTTGGGTATTTGGATTTCAGCAGCGATTTGGTATTAGTTCCAAGACCATATCTGGTGAAAGCGAATCAGCTGATAAGGCTGCAGTTGAAAGTGGCCGACGTCGTTTTCAAGAATTACTCAAGGACTATCATCCTGATAATATTCTTAATGCAGATGAGACAGGTCTCTATTTTCGTCTTGGGCCAGACAAAACACTTGCATCAAAAAGTGATGCTGCTAAAGGATTTAAGAAAGATAAGCAACGTCTCACTGTACTTTTTTGCTGCAATGCATCAGGTACACGAAAATTTAAACCATTCGTAATTGGCAAAAGTGCACGACCACT